AAGGAAAAGAAGGTATTCTTTAACTACATTGGCCTTGATATCTCCAATTAAAAAACGAATAAATGTGATATTTAACTATATTGGCCGTGATTTTGTGGATGGATGTGTATAATCATCTATAAATCTTTCCAAATCACTTTCATAAACTGTAACAGTGATAAACCACCCCCAAATAAAAAAATCAAGGATAAAATAAAAATAAAAAGTGTGACAATAATTCTGAAGGAGCTAATCCCATCCAACGGAATCTAGAACCACCACTCAAATATTTACAGTAGAAAATTAATTTGGGATTCCAATAATGTTGTCAGTGATTGTGATAATATATATAAACCTCTTATCATAACATAAATTGATTTAATTTTAATGTGCGAATATCTCAAAAACAAATCATACATACTTCAATATTTAAAATAGTCCGAATGATAACATATAAGTACCAATTTTACAAATATCAACTCCCAAGTAGTAACACGAATGTACTTGTTTTATTTGGGTAGTGTGGATTGGCCGACAAGTTTGAAGTAGAAACATTGACCGACTCTACGAGTCAACCTTCCCAGACTCAATGGGCCGCATTTTATGTAAAATGTAATACTCGCATTTATAATTTTTTTCAATTATTTATTCGTCATGCATAGAGAACGTACTGCGTATTGGAATATGGTAGACATGGACAAAACCCGGGCCGGGTCGTGATTGCTGATGAGAACAAGCCCGCCTTTGTGCGTTGTGTGGAAGTGGGAAAAGCAAAGAAGGCCCGCCGGGTCGCCGGGCTCAAAAACACTAATCCTGAACCGGCACGGACATATACTCGTGCCGGGTCCGTGTTCGGGCCGTGCCGTCCGAGTCGGGTCCGTGCTTTCTTTAAAAAAAGTATAAAAAAATAACAAAAAAGTTAAAAATAAGGGTCATCGACCCGACCCGCCCCGGCCCAGACCCTCCGGGCCGAGTCATGAAACGAATAACCCTTACACGGCCCTTCTGAAATCCGGGCCGGTCCCGGACCCGTGGACAACGGGTTTGACCGGGCCGGGTCCGGACCGGGTCAGGGCCGGGTGACCCTTTGGCCATGTCTAGAATATGGTAATATCTTAACAAATTCCCCTATTTATTTATTTTGAATAAATTATGTCGTTTATATGCATCTCTCTCTCTCTCTATATATATATATATATATCTTTTTTTTTTTTATAAATATG